GACTGACGCTGTGGAGTAGGGGTCGTATGAGTCGTGGCTCTGGCTTTGGTTCTGGTTGTTGTTGCGAGGGGCGTAGGGGTCCTGTGAGAGGTTTGATGGGGCGGGTGTGTAGGATGGCCCGGGGCGAGAGGTATATGAAAGCGGTGAGTCGGTGCGGGTTATGGGTGTAGCGCCCATCGACCTATCCATCGGTGACGCGATGCGAGCAAGTGGTGTGTTACCGCCCATACCCCTATCCATTGGCGACGCAATGCGGTCAAGTGGTGTATTCCCCACCGAGCGATCCATCGGTGATCCAACGCGGTCGAAGGGGGTCATGTTGCGTTGCGGGGCGTTGTAGGAGTTATACGAGTCGTTCGTCATCGCCCGAGCAGGCGGTCCGAACCCTCCATTGCCATTCCCATTTCCATTTCCATTGCCATTACCCATACCACTCCCATACGAGTCCCCCGTCATCTGCCGAGCAGGCGGTCCGAACCCTCCATTCCCATTCCCATTCCCATATCCATTATCCATACCGCTCCCATACGAATCTCCCGTCATCTGCCTCTGCGGCGGTCCACTCCTCAACTGCTGCGGCATACGCTGCTGTTGCTGCTGCCAATTCGACCCCTGACTCGCATTCGTCTGGCCAGTCATCGAGCGTTGTGGCGCCGGGAAGGGCATTCCGTTGCTCCCCTCTTGGCCTGGCATCGGCGGCGCGGGCGAGCCAGAGCGGCTATACCCCATATCAGCCGCGTTAGCGACGAGGCCAGACGACGCGCCGTAGCTTCCTGCCGAGGTGGCGGTGTTGAGGCGCGATGGGACGGGACGCTTTTGGTCCATGTTGCTGAGTTCGAGGTCTGGGAGCTGTGGCTGTTGGGAGGAGGGCGTGCCGGGGCGGGAGGAGTACATGGGGAGGGTGGTTGTGGTGTCGTTGCGGTTGAGCATGGGCATTGTGGGGAGCTTGTCGTCCTTTGTGTCGAAGAGGGTTGGCAACGTGGCTTGGCGGTTGAGAATGGGCTTTTCGCCGTTCTTGAAGGCTTTTTGGTTGGCCTTGATGCGCTTGCGTTCTTCTTCTTCGATGGCCTTGTTGATCTTGACGCTGACGATCTTCTGGAGTCGGCCGTTAATCTTGCGCTCGCAGTAGCCGGAGAGGCCGCCGTCGCCGTTGGGGATGTAGTGCCAGAGGAAGAGGAGGTAGAAGAGCATGGCTAGCAGCAGGCTCAGGGCGGCAAAGATCCAGATGACGAGCGTGAAGACCATGCCGGCTAGGACGACAGCTTGTTTCTTGTCCTGGTCGGCCAGGATACCAAAGTTCTCGAAGAACTTGAGAATCGAGGTCGCAGCGTCCTTGTTCTTGGGGTCGAGCTCGGCAATGTACACAGACCTCAGCGTCAAGGCGTTGATGACCTGTCTTGGTCCCGAACAGAAGATGACACGGATCCACGACTGGAACGAGAAGTAGGTGAACAGCGCCACGTACTCGGCACCCTTCTTACTCTTCGTCAGCTCCGAGAAGACCAAGAAACGCTTCCAGCCGCGGCCCTGTCCAAAGACGCGAATAGCCTGGAGTCGGACGGCCAAGGAATCGAGATAACTCTCAGCCACGGCACCGCGCTTGATAATCAGATGCGCGCGGATGTGCTCGTAGATGACATTGACCCACGACGCAATGATGCATCCCGTAAAGATCCATTTAGAGATGTCCAGCTTGATGACCGGTTCGATGCTGGTGAACTTGTTCAAGGCGATGAGATTGTAGGCGGTGAATGTATCGACGCCGTAGACAGCAATGGAGATGACGAGGGAAAACCAGAGGTATCCATATGCTAGGTATTCGAAAAATGACGACGCCTTGAAATCTTGGAGACTCTGTATAGAATGGTCAGCATAGACACACGGCAACAATTGAGAGGGGTGGACTCACGATAAAATCCCACTTCTCCTCCAACCTAATATCCTTCGCCTTCCTGCGTGCGCACAACATCTTGAATTATGTTGCAAAGTAGAAAACCTGAAAAATCCGTCTGGTCCAGCCAGAAACTTAAAAAAAGGGGTATTGAAAAAGGCACAGAGAGCGATTGAGCCGAACGAGCAAATGAATGAATGTGCAGCGGGTATAATTGGTTTTCCCGCCGGGGGTATGTGTATCTTCGTCGTCTTGAACGAAGAAAAGTGGTGATGTTGGCTTCAAGTCAACACAGCCTACAGCAAAACGAGCGACAGCTAAAATCGAGCAGAGAGCACAGAGGTCATCCGCCTGCGGGTCCGACTTGTGCGGGAATTGGTTGATCCTCGGTGGGATCAAGAGGGTTGTTGTAGATTCGCTGAACGAGCGTCGTGACGAGGAATGTGTGTATCCGAGGGAAACCTCGTGCTGGGGGGGGAGGATCTCGTAAACCGCGCGTTTACTGGTGGCGAGCACGCATGGAGTGGGCGGTTTTGTTGTTGTTGCAACTTGTGGGCGGGTATGAGCCGGGAGAGGTGAGATGGGATGGCCAGTTGTTGTTGGTAGCGGTCTGTTGGGTCGGTGGATGAGGTCGTTTGATCGGACGCAGGCGTGTGTCGCAGATGTTCTGTTAGAGGCGGGCGGGAATGCAGGTCGTCTTGTAGCCGGCCTAAAAGCGCGATAGGGATGTCAAAGAGTGACGAGATGGGACGAAGGAATGAAGGAGGGTGTATATATTTTTTATCCCTCGCTTTGTTCTGGAGCAAGTGGATTTCGCAAAAGGGAGTGTGAATGAAGGAATGATTGTTGGCTTGGTATTGTGGTTGTGCGGGAGAAGGGACGACAATGAGGGCGTCAATGGGGTGGATGGGGTCGGGGGTCGGGGGTCAATGGATGGGTCTGGTCAATGGGGGAGACAAAGCACGGGCTAAGTCAGGCACAGGCACGACGGGTACAGGCACAGGCACAAAGGCACACAGGCACAGGCACAGGCACAATTGTACAGCAAATGGGGGGGGTGAGGAGCGAATTCTAGTGGATTTAGTGGATTTAGTGTGGAAGTTTAGTGGATGTTAGTGGTTGTATGGTGGATGTTAGTGGATGAGCCAGAGGGAGCCGGATAGACGCGCGGTGGATGCAGATTGACAGGCTGGCGTTGAGTTATGCACAAGTAGCTGGTCAGGTAGATGGTCAATCAGGAGAAGTAACTCGCAGCGCTTCGAGGAGTGGCGGGGTACATGCAGTGTACATGCAGTGTACAGATCCAACGGGTGCAACGGCAGCCCTTTCTCCGTCTGCGCACTTCGTATAAAGTCCATATCTTCCATCATATTATAGAGCACTGTACCTCCTACCACCACTCTAACACACACACTCCCACCTTCCCTCCCACCAAACACCTAGCCACACAGCCACTCTACTACCTGTATCCCACCAAAATCACTGAACCTCCCCCTCCGAGCCACCAGCCACCAGCCACCCACTCCCTGTTCCTGCATACAAAAAGCGACTCTCACTCACCCTCAAACCCCTAACCCCCCCTCTCTGCTAGCTTCCCCCCACTCCAACCTCCCCACCCCACTCCCCATCCGCCCCACCCCAGCCGCTGAAACACCCCTCCCCGCTCCCAGCAAATCAGCGCCAAGAAGCCGCCACACCTCTTCACCATCGTGAAACATCCACTTCCCCCCCCCCTGCCGACCAACCAGCGCTGACCCAGCCTATCCCTCTCCCTCTTCTCCTCCCCTGACCGTTGCGTTGGTACGATGGACACGCGCTGGGGGGTGCACATCATCTTGTGATCGGCAACCCAGTCTGGACTTTCACAGGGCAGAGAGTTGCTGACGGCGAAAACGCGGTCGTGCCGAGCGCGTCAGTTTGGGCGGTTACTACTATGGACCACTTACGGCGGTATGGTGAAGTGGTGGGCTTCACATGAGACAGACGAGTCGGGAAGTTTGTCTCCGAAGCGGCGGGTCGATGCTACGATTAAACTGGACCCTGAAAATGGCACTATTGGATGCGACGCTGCCGGGGCCGGTGTCAGTCTATTTTCGGGGAGAAGGGCGAAATTAGGTCACGTGGTTGTCAGGTGATTTATTTTATTTGAATATCACATGATACTCCTCGTCTCTACCAGGGGGATGAAGTTATATATTCTCCCCTCGTTTGGGTAACGAGAAACCGGAACCTATTCGTCACATTATATGGCCTGCTTCTCAATCCACATTGCAACACAAAATGACGCTGGTGCCGCTGGTGTGGATTCTTTGTTGATGTGTCAGTGAGTCTTGTTGTCGGTGAGCCTTGCTGTCGGCAGAGTCCTGTTGTCAAGTAGAATATTGTTGTCGATTAGTGTTCTAATCAGTAGACTCCTGTCGTCGGTGATTCTTGCTGCTAAGCTTTGTTGTCAGTCAGTTCCTGTCAATGGAGTACATAATGTTATGCCCGAACTCTGATATCATCAGAATTTGACATATCTTCACAATTCCAACCTCGAAATGCCACGTTTCCATGGAATCAGCTCCCTATTATATGCTTGGTTATCTTCGGTGGGACCATTGCTGAATTTCCTCCCTTTGAGATCTTGTCTGTTTATATATATATACCCTTTCCCTCAGCAATGAAAGCCCGCCGATCATTTCCCGCCGCTCCACTCCACTCCTAAGTCCAGGCATGTTGAGGCCGCCCGAGCATATCTCACTTATGTCTTTAATTTCTCCTTCATTTTCAGAGGTTTAAGTTACTAGACGGACTTCTGCCGCTGCACTGTAAAAACGGCCGTCTGTTGTCTATACCCCCCCTTCTCCCCCCCAAACCCCACCCCACACCCCAAAATACTCTACAACACCACCATCAACACAGAGAAGAACAAAAAATAATTACCCAAACCATACTTCAATCTCCAACCCCTTCAATACATTAAAAAATATTCTAATAAACCGCACCACTCGCTTAGCAAACCAGACTATAAAATCCCTACAACCCCCCTACCCCCCCACCACAAAACCAAAAAAAAAAAAGAATCACCAGATGATGATAACCATCATCACATCAATGAACAGCTGCTTGCTCCCGTACGGATTTGAACCGTAGACCTCGGCATTACTAGTGCCGCGCTCTACCAACTGAGCTACGAGAGCCGAATTGATGATGAGACGAGGGGCAATTGTAGATTGTGAGTGCGGTCCAGGGCTTGGCAGGGCAGAGTGGGGACCCCTATATATCCCCACCCTTCGACTTCGTCCCCTCTCATCTTCCTCGCCGAATATAAACCCTCAACCCCTCCCTCCTACCCCCGGATAGCAACGCCAACTTCCCAGCCGGCATCACAATCACACGACATCCAACACCCCCTCCCCAACAACCTCAACCCAAACCCCCATCCCCCCCTCCACCCTCCCACCAGAGAGGACAACGCCCATAACCCCCGCCTTCCTCCGCACCACCCTCCCCCTCTCCCTCACCGTGCATTGAGCCAGGAGTCCCTTGCCGAATTTCTCGATCTGGAGACACGGGTTGCGGAGGCCGGTTATCCTGATCCTAGCATCTGAATCCGAGGGAGGGGAGGAGGGGGAGGCGAAACGGAGGATAGTTCCCCGGGTGAGAGACTCAAGGTCCAAGCCGGTGGTCGTGATATTCTCCCCCAAATCCCCCGGCTTTACCCCCCTCTTCCCCTTCTTCCCTCCCTCCTCTTCCTCCTCCCCCTCCCCTTCCCCACCTCCACCCCGATCTATCCCCTCCTCCCCACGAACAACAAGCCCCTCCAAAAACTCCCTAGAAATAACATGCACCTGCCTCAGATTCTCTGGCAGCGGCCTGACCCCTCTCCGACTCAGATGCTGGATATCGGCGCCGAGGTGGCAGTCCCCCTCCACCCCGAGGCCGGGGATGAGTGTTATGCCTTCTGTGAGGGGTTTGCTGAAGGCGTGGGTGGGGGAGAGGGATGTTGTGTGGACGGTGCCTGCTGGTTGTGGGAGGGTGGATGAGGGGACGGGGGTAGTGGTGGTGGAGGGCGGAAGAGGGGCGCCGGCGAGGAAGTAGGATTCTGAGGCGTAGCAGACTGGTGAGGCCATTGTGCTCGCTGTCGTGGATTTGGTGTGGGTGAGTGTGTGTGTGTGAAGTGCGTAACAGAAGCGCGCGGCTGCGCAGTATTTGTAGTGACACTCAATAATCCAGTGTGTAGTGGGTGCTCAGTGATAACGTCAAGCAAGTAAGAGATGCGATGGGTGGTAGAGGGGTAAATATGTGAGGGCCGCGGAAGTGCGGGGTGAGTCAGCTCATCAATTACCTCACATCTCGATTATCCCTCCGTCTGATGGCGAGAGATCCCCACAATACACAGACATGCCAGGGTTTTATATATGAATACGGCAATGGATACTGAATATGGGGGTGGTGTGGTTTTGGTTACAGTGTTCTTGGTATGCTGTCGCTAATAAGTTCTACTACGCGAGGCGTTCTGTGTATCACTTCTCATCTCCTAGCCACAGCATAAATCGACACAAGTAAAGGCAATAGCAAGGCAAGGCAAAAAAAAGTAGTCCTCATTCCTAAAGAACATGTCAAGAAACCCTATCAGCTAAACTCCCCCCCTTCCCCTTTACCCTCTACCATGCCAGCGCACCATACCGTGCCCCCGACGCCACTCCTTGCCGAAAACAGAACGCCTGCTCAAAGACGCGAGAATGGTGGAGGATATAGTGTAAGAGACACGCCTATACTGTACCATACCGCGCCCTGTCCTTTCCTTTCCGGCTGTCTAACGGCGTCGCAAACCCCCCCAAGTAGGTGGTTGTTGTCGTTGTGTAAGGCGAGATGAGATAGCCACGCTCCGTCGTCCGCTGTGTAACCCCCTTCCTGCACCCCACAATCCCTCCCCCCACATCGCCAATCCCCCTCCCATCACACCTGGTATCGCACGCACGCACGCCCGCTCAAAGCAAAATCCACCCCTCTACACTACTTCCAGCCGACGCTTCATTGATAATTCCCCGTCGCCGAGTACGTCGGCCCGAGCCCGCGTCCCGAGTGCGCCGCGCTGCCCTGCTCAAAGTAAGGGTGCATGCAGGCCTGCTTGGCGGAGATGCGGCCGGCGGGGTCGTAGACGAGCATGTTCTCGAGCAGGTCCTGGCCGAAGTTGTCGAGACCGGGGATCAGGTTCGAGTTGAGGTCGCGGCCCCATTTGGGGAAGGAGGACTTGAAGTCGGGGAAGGAGGTTACACCGGGCCAGTCGAGTTCGGTGGGGGTGCCGAGGAGGCTAGAGGAGGGGGTTAGTTGGGTTTTATATGTGGATTGTAGGTGGGGAAGGGGACGTACCGGAAGATCTTGAAGATCTCGTCAATCTCGGAGTCACCGGCGAACAGAGGCTTGCGCGTGCACATCTCGGCAAAGATGCAGCCGACGGACCACATGTCGACACCGGTAGAGTACTGGCGGCCACCGAGCAGAATCTCTGGGGCGCGGTACCACAGCGTGACGACCTCGTGGGTGTACGTGCGGAGGGGCACACCGAACGCTCTCGCGAGACCGAAATCCGCGAGCTTGAGGTTGCCATCGCGGTCGATCAGGAGGTTTTGGGGCTTCAGATCACGGTGCAGCACGCGGTGGCTGTGGCAGTAGCGGATTCCTTCGCACAGCTGGCTCATGAATTTCTTGACCATCACGTCGCCGAGGCCGAGGCGACCGAGGTCGGGACCCGAGCCCTCGGGGAGAGCCTTGCCGCGCCCGCCGTCACTGATGGGGAGGGCTTCCATGTATTTCTTCAGGTCGAGGTCGAGGAACTCCATGACCAGGTACAGCTTGTGTCCGTCGGCGTGCACAATGTTGAGGAGACGCACGATGTTGGGGTCGTTCATCTCTTTGAGGAGTGAGATCTCGCGGATGGCGGTGGAGGGGACGCCTTCATCTTCGGCTTCGAGACGGATTTTCTTGAGGGCTACAATGCGGCCGCCGTGCAGGAGGTCGCGGGCTTTGTAGACGACTCCGTAGGTTCCTTGAAAGGGCACGGTCAGCCGTTGCTCTGGTGTGCGAGAGCGTGCGGGGTAGCATTGTGCTCTGGAAAATGCAAATTACATACCCTCTCCAATCTTCTCCAATTTCTGGTAGTTCTCCATATTGAAAGATGCTGTTATCTTATTTTTATGTGGCGTGGAAGTCGAATACTGCCAGGAGCCCTCTCCTCAAGGGGGATCGTGTTTAGCGGGGCGATAAATGAGGGGCAGAACAAAGTGGCATCCGCTGCATGTACTCGAAAGATTCGACAACGATATTCAGGATTGAACTTGGTCTCTTATATAAGCTGTCAGTCGTATACTGTCGGATTGATTTCGTTTGTTAGGATGCTCGTTTGTCGCTGTTTGTTGGGCGTTCCGTTTGTTGTCTTTCGGGCTGAGAAGTAAATAAAGAGCCGTCGCGAGAAATCAAGCTCAGCTGGCAACGCGCACCTCGCTTACTCCATCGAGCCGGTCTATCAACTTTTCTTAGCCACAATAAGGCAATGTCTTACAGAAAATTGTGAGCAAAATATGAACCACATCTACAGTATATTAATTATACTTGTTAAATAATTTTGTGCAGGGTTTACTTTGGAATAAAATGATAGTCCAAGATGAGGCCAGTATGCCTCCAAAAAGGCCTCCTTTGGACGCTCGGGAACAGCCCCCACAATTCATGAAGGATATCTTCAAACGCTTCCAACGGCTCCCCTTAGCGGAGATTCCTACTGATTCTCATATCTTGGATTTTACAAAGGGTATTCTGCCTCAAGGAGTAAGGCTTGATAGAGAGATCTCGTCAGAGGATCTACAGTCTATTTACCGTCGTTTCGTTGGAGACGGAAGGGATTTCGATGTTCCGGAAAGCCAACCCGTTTATAGCTGCGAGGCATTGCCAGGTAGGGCGAATCTCTTTATATCATGAATTTCCTCTTTTAGACCTCCTCTCAAACACGCACCCGTTATCCCCACCTATGGTCCATGGTTCATCCTGACACTATTTCAGGTCTACTTATTTTACCATCTTTCCTGCCATCACAAGTCCAAAGAGAACTCTTATCCCGTCTTCTGCACAGAGACCTGTCAGTCCCAGAGCATAAGACAAATATTCACATGTTCTACGATATGCCCTATCCAAAGAGTGATTCTACTCCAGAAGGACCGTCTGGGACACCTTCTTTCTTCTCATATTCGCCAAAGAGCAAGACAGTATTCAATCCAAAAGACCCTAGTGTTCACAAACCTCTTACGATTTCAAAATTCATGGAGAAGAGCCTCCGATGGGTTACTCTAGGAGGGCAATACGATTGGACGAACAAAGTGTATCCAGACGAGGCGCCGCCAGCATTTCCAACTGATATCAAAGACCTACTTGAGGGTATTTTCCCAGAAATGAAGGCTCAAGCGGCGATTGTCAATTTATACAGCCCAGGGGACACCCTTAGCTTGCACAGAGACGTCAGCGAAGAGAGCGACAATGGTCTTGTCAGCATTAGCTTGGGTTGCGACTGCCTTTTCGTCGTTGGTTTAGGCCGAGATCCGTCCGATTCTATTGTGGTGCACCTCCGATCCGGGGATGCTTTACTCATGTCAAGGGAATCTCGGTTTGCCTGGCATGGAGTACCAAAGATCCTACCAAGCTCGTGTCCCACATATCTCGCGTTGTGGCCTGCAGAGGATGACCAATACGAGGAATGGCGAGACTGGATGAAAAACAAGAGAATCAACCTCAACGTTCGGCAAATGTTTGATTGAGTGATTTAATTCTGCCGACAGAAAAAATTCACTATCTTGACGAATTGAGCCTCGTCGAAGAAGCACTAGAGATCTTATCACCTAATAGACTCATTATGGATTTCCAGAAAGGGAAAGTGCTGCCGAGATTCCGATCAGCGGGGTAAGTCGACGGTGAGGTCATGCCCTATGGATATCTTATCGCTCAATGCGGGGAAACGTCAGCGAAAGTTAAAACAGCTCCCCGTTCCCCATTGCCAATGTTTTTCTCAAATTATAAGCTTTTATTGCTGCAAGCTATATATTATTCGCCATGTCGTCGTGGAAGGAAGTAGCTCAGGCCAAGCGCGCGTCGATCAGAGCGGAAATTCCGCAGAAATGGCTCTTATCATCTATCCCGTCCGTACAAGAAC